TTGACATGTACTAAAACACCTAAAACAATGTCTGATACATACTTAAATACCCAATAAAAGATAGCTAGTGTTATAATCATTGTTGATGTGTTTTTAATGTATGGTATATTCTTCTTTGAAAACTGTGGGAGAGAAGACCCTTTTACATCTAAGGTTATGCCCAAAATATGTTAGATCTCTTCATATATTTGTATGTTATTATATGAACTTTAAAATTCTCAAATTTAATTGCATTTTATTCTTTCTCTTGGCTACTAGGAAGCTCAGATGCCTATAGGTGGCCACTCTCTAAATGGCAGAGGAACACATGCTTTGCCTTTCTGCATAGCAATTTTACTACTGTATTTTTTACAATCCTGACCAATTTTTTCCTTTACCCCAATTTTCTTGATTGTGTGCTTTTAACTTTTGGATTAGCTTACCTTTAAGCTGCTTCAAATCTTTTGTGGCAGGATATTGGGACTAGAGTAGATTAAAAATAGAGAAGTAATTTATGAATTTCAACAAATGCCACTGTTATAAAAAAAAATATTAAATCTCCTCCACATCAGTACTATTAAAAATACTTGTGCTCAGCACTATGGCTGATGCTTGTAATCCCAAAAACTCAGGAAGCTGAAGTGGCAGAATCACTTGAGGCCAGGAGCTCAAGGACGTAGTAAGCCATGAGACAACAAAGTGAGACCCCAACTCTAAAAAAATAAAATAAAATAAAATGCTTGCTTGGCTCTGCACTTCTTAATGTTGTTGCCCAGCCAAGGACCCCAAGAATTCTTGCCATTGGGTTTCCGGATTTGTTTTCTTCATTTTTTTCCCTTTCTTGTACATTGCACAATCAGATACGGGATAGAGTGGCTTTTATCATCTATTGCATTGCATGTGCAATGCCAAGAAGAGAATGAGGGGCCAGGCGCGGTGGCTCATGCCTGTAATCTCAAGACTTTGGGATGCCAAGGTGGGCAGATCATTCAAGGTCAGGAGTTCGAAGACCAGCCTGATCAACATGGTGAAACCCTGTCTCTACTGAAAATACAAACAAAAAAAAATTGGCCAGGTGTGGTGGCACACGCCTGTAGTCTCAACTAGTTGGAAGGTTGAGGCAGGAGAATCACTAGAACTCAGGAGGCAGAGGTTGCAGTGAGTCGAGATCGCATCACTGCACTCCAGCTTGGGCAACAGAGGGAGACTCCATCTCGTGGTGGCAGGGTGGGATGGCGGGGTGGGGAGAAAAGGATGATATTGTTTTCTGTTTAACTTATCTTTCTTTCAAGGTATCTTTCCCTACTCCTCATCTTCCATTTGAGCCTCTCCACCAGTCTCCGTAACAACCCTGCACATTGTCTATTGTGGTTTTGGCATTCCCCTGGAAGGATTGCAGAACCCAAGGTACTATCATCAGAAGTAGCTGACTCTACTACTTACTTTTGGAAGGGCTGATATGACCTATAGGAAGGCGAGACTTAAACAACTTAGCAAGAGCTATTCAGTTGCAAGTGACTAAGGACCTTAAAGACACATACACACACACACACACACACACACACACACGCGCGGCTTATTGTGTACTTTCCTATTATATTTTTGCATACCCATTATCTCCTTTGACTATCATTCCAATCCTTTGAGGTAGGAAAGCTGTCATTATTATTAACTCCATTTTACATAAAGGAAAGATTAGAGCTCATTAGACCTCAAGTTTGTGCCCTGGACCCTACGGCTAAGCACTTACTTACTATGTGCCCAGCATTGTGCCAGAAAATACAGAGGAAAAAGTAAGCCATTTCTTCAGATCCAAAGGGCATTATAGGCCTATTACAGAGGCAGTACCAAAACATATGAAACTCAGTTTATAGAAAGAAGTATGATTTAAAGAAAAGAGAAAGATCACCACCAGATAGAGTTGCCAGACAGATTTTCTTAGGGCAGTGGAACTTGAGCTGGCCTTTAAAGACAAAGAGAAGGGTCAAAGAGACAGTTGGATATGTGAATCCATTGGATGTGCATGCCTTCAGGGATGTAGGCCCTCAAAAGAGGAAACAGGATGGCATCCACTCTACCACCTGCTCCCACCAACCCATTCATCCATTCATTCTTTTCTTCACTGACCTTCCTGTTCCAGTCCTTATTCTAAGCCCTAAGGTGGAAGAGGAGTTTGGCGGCGGTGGTAGTATCAGAGGCATTTGAATCAAGCAACTCCATTTTGAATAGGGGCTGGGTAAAATAAGGCTGAGACCTACTGGGTTGTATTCCCAGGAGGTTAAGCATTCTAAGACACAGGCTGTGATAGGAGGTCAGCACAGGTTACAGGTCACAAAGACTTTGCTGATAAAACAGCATGTGGTAAATAAACCAGCGAAATCCCACCAAAACTGAAATACTGATGCGATGAAAGTGACCTCTGGTAATTCTCACTGCTCTGTATACGCTAATTATAATGCATTAGCATGCTAGAGGACACGCCTACTATTCCCTGACCAAACCGAAGGTGAGGCTGCTATTTCGCTAGGCCCAATAATGAGATGCAGATGAACTGGGGGGGAAGAGAATTTTCATTTTTGTAACTGGTTACAGGGAGAAGGCCTGGAAATTATCACCAGACCAAACTCAAAATTAGTTTTTCAGAATTTATATGTCTTCTAAGCTATATGTCTACATGGAAGCGTGCATTCATCTAAAGACATAAGTGATTAACTTCTTTTAATCTGTAAGTAAGATATGAGTCCTGAAGACCTTTGTCTGGAGCCTCAGTAAGTTTACTTAATCTAAATGGGTCTAGGTGCTGAGGTGATTACCCTTATCTTGCCTCCTGCTAAATCATAAAGGTTTGGGGAGTTCCTTTAGACTCCAATAAACTTGTTTGCAGAGGCCTGGGGAATTTCTTCAGATCCCCAATAAAACTTGTTTAATCCTCAAAGGATCCTGTTAAGAATTCCTTCATTAGCCTGTCATGCTTCAAGGCCCAGGAAAGCCTAGGCAAAACTCTTAGTGGGCTCTTTGTTATATTCCAGACTTTGTATAAGGGCACTGGCTCAGTCAGCTTTTAATGTTTAACCTAGCTACTCAGCCAGTGCTGGGACAGTTGTAATAGAGGCCTGTGCTAGTGAGACCTGGCCTGCCATACTACCAGTGCCATGACAGTTTACAAATGCCATGGCAATGTCAGAAAGTTACCCTAGATGGTCTAAAAGAAGGAGGGACCCTCAATTCCTGGAATTGCTCACCTCTTTCCCAAAAAATTACAAATAATTCACCCCTTGTTTAGCATATAATCAAGAAATAACAATAAAAATAGCCAATAAACAGCCCATTCTGCTCTCTGCCTATAGAGTTGCCATTCTTTTATTCCTTTACCTTCTTAACAAACTTGCTTTCACTTTACTCTATGGACTTCCCTGAATTCTTTCTTATGGTAGGAACCAATCCAGAGATTCGTCACTGGAATCTAATAAAAAGTGGAGGAATTAGTGCTGATCAGCATTTCATAGGCCAAGACAGCCATTAAGGGGTTTGGATCACAATCCTGAACACCATACATAATCCCAAATGTTGTAACCCTGAAAGATCAAAATTCCTAAACTCAAATCCCTTATGTTTAAATTCCCCAAAATCACAATCGTGTGACAATTGTATCACATTAGGCAGAACTATTACCTTATTATAGTTCCTATCAGGAAATTATGGCTTAAAGAGATTAATATGGGTGCCAAATTGACAAGGGCAGATTTTGTGGACTCAATTTTAGTTGTCAACTTGTCTGGATTAAGGGATACCTAGAAACCTGCTAAAGTGTTATTTTAGTTATATCTGTGAGGGTGTTCCCAGAGGAAATTAGTGTGTGAGTCTGCGTGAACCAGATAGGAAAGATCCGTCCTCAATGTCAGCTGGTACCATCCAATGAGTTGAGGACCTGGAGAGCCCACAAATACAGAAGGCAGGCTGGGTGTGGTGGCTCATGCCTGCAATCCTAGTACTTTGGGAGGCTGAGGCGGGTGAATTGCTTGAGCCCAGGAGTTTGAGACCAGCATGGGTAACATGGAAAAAAATCTTATCTCTACCCCAAAAAAGAGGAAAAATTAGTCAGGCATGTTAGTGCATGCCTGTAGTCCCGGCTGTGCAAGAGGCTGAGATGGGAGGATCGCTTGAGTCCAGGAGGTGGAGGTTGCAGTGAGCCAATGTCACACCACTGCACTCTAGCCTGGGCGACAGAACAAGACCCTGTCTTAAGAAAACACAGATAACAAACAAATAAAAAACAGAAGCAAACTGGCCTCTCTCTGAGATCTGGAACACACTTTTCTTCAGATGCCTTAGACATCAGAACTCCTGGCCAGCAGCCTTTGGACCTGGGACTGACTAGCAGCCCCCAGGTTCCTGTCAGCCTCAGACTCAGAGTTACACCATCAGTCTCCCTAGTTTTGACATATTTAGAATTAGGTACAATCAAGACTTCTAAAAATGAATTTCAAGATGTCCCCAATAAAAAGCTTTTTTAAAAAATGCATCCCAATGCATTTGGTGAAAAATTCAGATGAGTGAATTGACCACGTAATCTGGCAATGACAACTTCAGTGTATGAATGGATAATGTGCCTGCATTGGCATTCCGTCCAGCTGATGACATTCTACAAACTTTTAATAAATTAAAGTTGCATTTGCCCTAAGAAGCCAGTGAAGATACTGATTGGTTTGAAAATAATTATGTGCAAGGTAAGATAAGAAGACACACAATGATGTTGCTGTTTAACAAGTATTGTTTCTGCCAAATTTATGGTCTGCATATAAGTGTATGGATTTCCACATGCCCAAAACAACATAGAGGGATGGCACAGAAGATGAAAAAATTTAATAGAGAATTCTCATGTCCACATACACTATATAGAATCACAGAAGAATTTCCAAAAAAACAGCACCACCTAGAAAATGAATATGAACAGAGAGATGTGAAGAAGAGGCGAGAACAACGCCAGAACAACCAAAGCCAGCCGCCTGCTGCATCCCATGCCCAGTGCCAATGTCCCGCCACCATCGTGCTGCCACCATGCCCAAGAGAAAGGCTGAAGGGGATGCTAAGGGAGATAAAGCCAAGGTGAAGGACGAACCACAGAGAAGATCCGCGAGGTCATCTGCTAAACCTGCTCCTCCAAAGCCAGAGCCCAAGCCTAAAAAGGTCCCTGCAAAGAAGGGAGAGAAGGTATCCAAAGAAACAAAGGGAAAAGCTGATGCACAAGGAGGGGAATAATCCTACAGAAAACAGAGATGCCAAAACAGACCAGGCACAGAAAGCTGAAGGTGCTGGAGATGCCAAGTGAAGTGTGTGCATTTTTTATAACTGTTTACTTCTGGTGACTGTACAGTTTGAAATACTATTTTTTTTTCAAGTTTTATAAAACTGTAGAATTTTGCTTTAATTTTCTTAAGCTATGTTGTTAGCACACAGAACATGTCATTGTTGTTTTGGAGGGAAAGGGCGTATGTCATTAATAGAATGTCTCTAAAGCTGGATTGATGTGGGGAAAACACCTTTCCCTTCTAGTTTTGAAAGACTTCCTCTTGGCTCCCAGGAGAAGGGATTCCCTGACTTTGACACACATGGCCATCTTGGCACAAAAGCCTTGTGGCATGGAAAAACAAATTCGTTTTTATGTCCTCTTCTCCCTTTCCGTCTTTCAGCATAGACTTAACTCCCTTAAGCCCAGACATCTGTTGGGACCTGACCCCCAGTCATTGGTTACCAGTGTGTCAGGCAATCTAGACTTTGCAGTGATGCCACTGAGATGGCACCTGTCAAAAGAGCAGTGGTTCCATTTGTAGATTGTGGATCTTCAGAGAAATTCTACAATTTTCATTTCACTTCCTGAAAGTCAGGGTCGGCTTGTGAAAAGCTGTTAAACAACCTGCTGAATGTGAAATGTCAACCTTCACTCTAAACTTTTCCTGTTCAGAGCATTGAATGAAGACTTCAATGGGTTTTATAGTGGCTTTCTGATTTTTGGTAATCTGTTGAAGAAGGGAGTTTGAAAGTTGTTTTATACTTTTAAAGATTGTCTGCCCATGTCCTGTCTGAAATACCATGACTGTTTATGGAAAGTATCTTTAATAAAGCTGGATATAATTTGGCTTGGAAAAAAAGAAAAGAAAAGAAAATGAATGCGAACATATTCTCCAAGAAGAGCCATGTTCTAAAAGAAAAAAAAGCAGCTATTTATTGCAATGCAAGACTTCAAAATGTAGTTAAAGGTTATGAAAGTTAGAAAGCTCTTATGGACTTCCTTTGTGTAACTGCCCTTAATCTACCCCTGAAATATGCATTTTCATATGTCAAACTTTCATTTTAGTTTTGTTTATTGTTTTTAGTTTTTTCTCACAATTTTAAATTGCCAGCATTATTTTTTACAATTCCTATGCTACGTAGTTTATCTTTGCATCATTTCCAATACTGGAGGTATACATTTTGTAAAGATGTTTAGAGAGTTCTAATTTATTGTATGCATTTTGTATAAATTTGACCTCACAAAAGTGCATTATTGCAACATTAACTTTGTGTGTAAGCATTGTGCATAACATAAAAGTGTTAAAACTTCCTCAATAAATGATGACATGTCCTTTTTGTACATCTACTTTTGTGAAAGGTAAAATTTCTCAAGATCTGGCTCTTTGAGTGATTGCATGAGCAGTGGTGACTCACTGCGGTTTTGGATCCATCTCGTCAAAAAACTTAGGTTGTCCCTACACTATTTCAGGTGACTGAAGTTATACGAGCTATTTCTTTATAAATACGGTTCATCTGCTCATAACTGTCATACTCATGTGATTGTCATTAGTGCACCTGAGTGCTTATGCTTGCAAAAATATGTATCTTCTTATTGCCTATTTTATTGTGTAAAGTGCCCTATAACATATTCTGTAGTGCTTTTATGTTTCTCAAGTAAATCTCCTGTTACAAAAGTAAATAATTATCTTTTAAATAATTTTGAAATTCTTATTTCAGAATTATCTTTTTCGGATTTTGATCTTTCAAGATTTTTGGATTGTGTCTTTGGGATTATGACTGGCTCCCCCATGCTCCATTTCTTCCTTTTTGTCTTTGAGCTTCCTGTCCCTTAGATCATGTTCTTCTAGTTTGGGGAATATTTTTTAAGAAGGAATATTTCTGGCTTTTCAAACAAGGACATTCTTGCCACATGTCCATCTAGTGCATGATACCTCTTGGTTCCATATGCTATAGATCATAGGATTCTGCACAAGGAGAAAAAGGTGTAAACAGCAGATACCTCCCAGCCCTCCTCTGATGAGTAACTAGAGCTGGGGCAAAGGCAGATGAGGATGCAACACCAATAACGTGGGAGAGCCACAATGAGGTGGGAGGAACTGGTGGAGAAGGCCTGGTGCTTTCTCTTAGCTGAATGCATCCTCAAGATGGTGGCTGCAAGGCAGCCATAGGGGAGGCAGACAAAGAGGAAGGGGATAGTGACAGCGGCCACAATGAAGGCAGACAGCTGCCTCATGCATGTGGTGTCTGCACAGAGAAGGCACTTGCTGTGGGCATGTCACAGAAGTAGTGGTAGGTTTCATTGGGTCATGGAATGGAAGTTGTCAGATCAGAATAGTCAAAAACAGTGACAACAGGAATCCCAGCCTTAAAGAACCTAAAATCATCTGCCCACAGAGCTACCCACTTGCGATGAGATTATAACTGAATGGACGACAGATAGTCGTATACCTGTCATAGGCCATGACAGCAAGCAAGACACACTCAGATCCTCTCAAAAGGATGACAAAGAGCATCTGAGTTCCACAGCCAGGGAGAGAGAGAAGCATCTTCCCCATGGAAAGGATGCTAGCCAGTGTTGCAGGAGAAATGTTGGTGGAATAGCCAATTTCCAACACAGTCAATGCCAACAACAACAAAAAAGTACATTGGAATATGAAGGAAGGGATCTCGCCAGACTGTGGGCCCAGTGGTGAAGCTTCCAACAAGGCTTCCTAGGTACAACATCAAGGCTGCAATTATAAAGGAAGCCACCTCCAGGTCTGTTGAAAAGGAGTGGAAGTGTACCACTCCCGTCTGGTTTTCCTCTTCCATTAGACCTGGTACAAGGAAAGAAATCATAGGCAAACTTACTCTCCTGTGTCATTGAGCCTGAGCAGGTTCAGATATGTTAAAAACACGGTATGCAATCACTGCGTGGGTATCCCCATTGCTTCCTTCAGAGTTCAGTCAATGTTCTGCCACTCCCACTGCTTAATCTACTGGCCATGTGACCTTGGAGAAGTTATGAACATCAGCATTCTTTGTGCAAACATGGGAAGGGTGTAACACCCATCTCAGAGCCCTAGGGAAAATTAAATGAGATTTTATGTATCAGAGTGCTAAGCCCAGTGCCAGACATGCAATAGGTTCTCAATAAGTGTCTTCTTTCTGTTTTTATTCTTTCCTTGGTCTTCATTTCTTTTTTTTCATAGGAAACTCCTGATCATTCTCATGCCTCTTCATTACTATGATTATTCCATCACACAGCTTAAAATATGCACAGCTTAAAAGTATAGATTTCTGGCTGGGCGCGGGGGCACACTCCTGTAATCCCAGCACTTCGGGAGGCTGAGGCGGGCAATCACCCGAGGTCAGGAGTTCAAGATCGGCCTGGCCAACATAGTGAAACCCCGTCTCTGCTAAAAATACAAAAATTAATTGGGTGTGGTGGCACATGCCTGTAATCCCAGCTACTCCGGAAGCTGAGACAATCACTTGAACCCAAGAGGCAGAGGTTGCAGTGAGCCAAGACCACACCACTGCACTCCAGCCTGGGTGGCACAGCGAGATTCTGTCCCAAAAAAAAAAAAAAAAGTATGATTTCCACAAACAGCATATGATTCTCATATCAAACCCAGAGGAAACAAAGCACAGATGTTTCCTTTGTCCATTTTACAAATGTGGAAACTGGAAACCCAGCAAAATTAAATAACTCATGCTGTTATCCTTCCTCTTCTTGAAACCCAGAATTTCGGTATTATATTTTTTTCCTTGAAACTTCAACAACCCTGTTTCTTTTGTGTTGTGTGCTCTTATTTCACTTTCTATGTCGACTTTCATTTCTATTATGGTGTCCCGCCTAGCGAGGGTTTTCATCCCCTCATGCATGTACAGCTCATCCCTTCAACAACCCAACTTATCATACTTTTAGATTAATCTTTCTTAAACACTTGTTAATTTGTATTACTCCACTCCAACCATAGGTTTAAAAACTAAAGGAACCTCGGCCGGGCGCGGTGGCTCAAGCCTGTAATCCCAGCACTTTGGGAGGCCAAGGCGGGTGGATCATGAGGTCAAGAGATCGAGACCATCCTGGTCAACATGGTGAAACCCCGTCTCTACTAAAAATACATAAAATTAGCTGGGCATGGTGGCGCGTGCCTGTAATCCCAGTGACTCAGGAGGCTGGGGCAGGAGAATTGCCTGAACCCAGGAGGCGGAGGTTGCGGTGAGCCGAGATCGAGCCATTGCACTCCAGCCTGGGTAACAAGAGCGAAACTCCATCTCAAAAAAAAAAAAAAAAACTAAAGGAACCTCTTCTTATGGTATCACATTTGAATACTACAGGCTGATTCAAAAAACATTTTTATAAATAAAAGTAGCACAACTTCCTGCCAGTATAACTTCAGGAAATAGCTTAATCAACATGCTTCACTGCCCCATCCCACCCACCACACATTTGTTGATTTTTTTTTTTTTCTTTTTTTGAGACAGGGTTTTATTCTGTCAATGCAACCTCAGCTTCCTGGGTTCAAGCGATTCTCCCACCTCAGCCTCCTAAGTAGCTGGGACTACAGGTACATGCCACCATGCCTGGCTAATTTTTGTATTTTTGGGTAGAGATGGGGTTTCGCCATGTTGGCCAGGCTGGTCTCAAATTCCCGACCTCAAGGGATATGCCCACCTTGGCCTCCCAAAGTGCTGATTACAGGCATTAACCACTGTCAATTTTTTTTTTTTTAATGTTATTGAGTTTCAATTGGCTGCAAGGTAGATTTTTCATGTGCACACAAACATTTCTCTATGTTGTGGCTGACCTTTCCAATTTGGTTCAACTGGCCAAGGGTAGCAGCCTACGGAGTGATGTTTGATCTTTTCAGGGGATACTCCGAGAAGCTGCGCCATGCAAAAACAAACAAACAAACAAACAAAACACTATTCTGCTAAAATTGAAGGATGGGGGTCAAAAAATGCAAATTAAAACATTCAACCACCATTTTGTTTGTTTAAGTGAGCCAAGTTTTTTTGTTGTTTTTTTGGGGGGGTTAGAAGGGACTTTTTATTGAAGGGCGTGGCTCCGGCGTCTGATTAACAGCTACAACTGGATCTCCTTTAACACCCATTTCTCCATCAGCTTCACCTTGTACTTGGACTTGAACTTGGCTCTCCAGGCTCGATCATATTCCTCCTCTGGAAGCTCTAGAGCCGGTCTCCAAAGATGTTTGTTGCCCTCGGGCTTCAGAGTCCTGAGCGAGTCAGTCAGTTCTGAGCTGAGCTGCACGTCTGGATGCCTAGCACTTGATCCGCCCCAGCCTTCGGGGCTTGTCAGTCTCGGCCTCCCGCCGCCTCGCCAGCTCCGCCAGCCTCAGGGCCACCTGGGCCTTGAACAGGCGCAGCCGGAACAGCTCCTGGTGCCGGAGCCAGGCCGCCCGCAACGCGGCCTGCCGTGCACGCAGCCTTCTCCCGCCGCCGCTGCTGCTCGGTCTTCCTCTCTGTGGCGGGCAGGCGGGCGGGCGTGGGGCAGACCTTGGCCTCCCCAGCCTCCGGCCCCTCGTCCAAGCCCTGCTCCCTGTCACCGTCCGACTCCTCCAGCAGTCCCTCGCACAGCTCCTGGAACCGTGAGGAGGAGCCGGGCCAGGGCGAGGGGCCCGGGGCTGGGGATGCCGAGGTCTGTCCCAAGCTTGTCTGCGGCCTGCTCCGTGGCGGGCAAGGCCAGCTGCCGCTCCAGCTTCCCCGCCTCGGTCTGCCGCCGCAACGCCACCTCGTGGGCCGCTGAGAGCAGGGTCTGGCGGTCTTCAAAGGACCGGTTGTAGGAGACTCCGGCAGGCGCTACCTCCAGGGCGGGGGCCTGGGACCGCTTAGTGTGCAGGCGTGGTGGCCGCTTCACTCCTTTCTTCTTGGTCTGCTCCAGGAAAAACGCATCCTGGCCAACCAACGGCCTGGCCAACCATGGCCTGGCCAGGGCTGCTGTCTGGGGCCCGGAGGTCGTAGAAGGGCCGCTCCACGGTGTCCTGGGGCCCGGGCTTGGACTTGGCGGCAGGAGAGTTGAGGAGCTGGGCCTGGGCCCTGCGGGCCTCCCCGGGGCAGCTCGCCCTGCTTGGCCAGCTTCTCCCAGAGCTGCTCCTTCCGCCTGAGCTTCTTGGCGTTGGGGCCCTGGTGGGCAAGGACATCTTTGGGGGCAGGGACTTTGGATGTGTTCTCGAGGAGGAGGTCAACCCGAAGAGGTTTCTTGAGAAGCAGTGACTTCTGGACTTTGGTTCTCTTCTTAGCCCTTTTTCCTGGGAGCCAGGGTGCATTAAGAAGAGTTTTTCATTCGGGACCTCTGACAACTAGCCACGCTCATGCCCTCCTGCAGCTGCACATCTTCCAGGAACTGGTCAACCTCCAGCCCCAGCGGCTCCTGAGCGAGCTGCTGCCAGCCGCACTTATTTCTTGGGCCTCGCCACTGCTGCCTCAGTGCTCGGTCCACCAAAGTAGGCCACAGCCCCAGGAAGCCGCAATCGTCATCACTTTTCGAGCTGTACTTCCCACCAGCGCCACCGCCTCCCACCACCATCTTGTCAAAGGAAGAATCTAGCCCTAAGTGAGCCAAGTTTTAATATTGTGTCTTGTTTTGGTTGTTTTTTAATAATGATCCTCAGTGCCGGTGAAGTTGGGGTGAAAGGAGCAGTTGCAAGGTCCCTGGAGGGGAGATGAAAGGTTATTTTCTTTAAAAGTTGTCTAACAGAAATTTCCTGAAGTTTTTCATATGGGGCAAATAATCTTACCTACAACTACCACTTAGTCTTTCCTTCCCCCCTATTTAATTCCTCATAGTAAGTGATCCAATGTAGTTTATATCTATCTATCCAAAAACATGGGGCATGGATAGCTGTGTTGAAAGTGAGGTTGAATTGGATCAGTAGCTCTCAACATCCTCTGCAACATAGGAATTGTACAGTGTTTTCCCTATGATCCGCACTATAGTAGTGATAGAACTATAAAGGATTAGCTAAGATGATATACATTGTACATGTATATTTCATTCAATGCCCATAACTACTCTAGGAGGGAAGAACAGCACTATTATCCCCATCTTACAGATGAGGAAACCGAGGCTTTAAAGGGTTTATTAACTTACTCAAACACACACATGCAGTGAGTAGCTGAGCCAAGGTTGGAATCCATGTCTGTCTGAATTCAGACCTGCTCTTTTTTTTTTTAAGCTATTTTTTCTAATTTATTCTTTTTTATTTCAAATAGTTTTGGGGTACAAGTGGTTTTTGGTTACATGAGTAACCAAATGATGAGTTCTTTAGCAGTGAATTCTGAGATTTTAGTGAACACATCAGCCAAGCAGTGTGCACTGTGCCAAATAGGTAGTCTTTTATCCTTCACTTCCCTCCCAACCTCCACCCCACCCCAGGTCTTCAAAGTCCACTGTATCACTCTGTATGTCTTTGAGTCCTCATAGTTTAGCTCCCACTTACAAGCGAAAATATATGGTATTTGGTTTTCCATTCCTGAGTTACTTCACTTATGATAATGGCCTCTAGTTCCATCTGAGTTGCTGCAAAAGACATTATTTCATTCCTTTTTACGGCCGAATCATATTTCATGGTGCATATATACCACATTTTATTTATCCACTGGTTGGTCGATTGGCACTTTGCTTGGTTCCATATCTTTGCAATTGCAAATTGGACTGCTAAAAACACGCATGTGCATGTGCCTTATTCATATAATGACTTCTTTTCCTTTGGGTAGATACCCAGTAGTGGGATTGCATGAATGAATGGTGGATCTATTTTTAGTTTTGTAAGGAATCTCCATACTGTTTTCCACAGTGGTTGTATTAATTTACATTCCCACCAGCAGTGTAAAAGTGTTCCCTTTTCACCACACCCATGCCACCACCTCTTGGGTTTTTGTTTTTGGTTTGGTGTTTTCTGTTTGTTTATTTGTTTTTGAGACAGTCTTGCTCTGTGGCACAATCTTGGCTCACTGCCACCTCTGACTCTTGGGCTTAAGCAGTTCTTCCACCTAAGCTCTCAAGTAGCTGGGACCACAGCTGCACACCATCACACCCAGCTAATTTTTTGTATTTTTGGTAGAGACAGAGACAGAGTTCTACGATGTTGCCCATGCTGGTCCCAAACTCCTGGGTTCAAGTGATTTTCCTGCCTTGGCCTCCCAAAGTCCTGGGATTACAGGTGTGAGCCACTGAACCCCACCTATATCTATTGTTTTTTTGACTTTTTAATTACAGCCATTCTTGCAGGAGTAAGGTAGTGTCTCATCATTGTTTTAATTTGCATTTTCCTGATGACTCGTGATGTTGAGCATTTTTTTGTATGTTTCTTGGCTGATTGCATGTCTTCTTTTGAGAAATTTCTATTCATCTCCTTTGCTCACTTTTTAATGAGCTTATTTGTGTTTTTTTTTCCTTGCTGATTTGAGTTCTTTATAGATTCTGCATATTAGTCCTTTGTCAGATGCATAGTTTGCAAATATTTTTACCCACTCTGTGCGTTGTCTGTTTACTCTGCTGATTATTTCTTTAGCTGTGAAGAAGCTTTTTAGGTTTAATTACAGACTTGCTCTTTTCATTGTTTTTCTCTATTGCCTCAAACTCCATGCTTTGAAAATTAGCCTGCCTAATCATTTATTTTAAATAGCAAAATAAGAAAGTAATAATAATAAGTAATGCATGTGCAGTATAACCTTATCTCAGAGAAATATATGACTAATACTAGGGCTTTTGAAATATTAAAATTACCTTGAAAAACCCTTAATAATCTTGAGGGCCCTTTGAGATTTGGAATTCCAAAGTTGCAACCACTAAATGACCTCTAAAACTTCTCTTCATTCTATGATTTCATGAGTGACTTTGAAGAAGAGGAAGATGAAGAAGAGCTCTAGATGATCTCTCATTTCTCCAAGGAATGTTGGAAGAAAAATCATCTCCCCAGATCTTTTTTTCTCTCTTAAGATAGAGTCTCAACTCTGTCACCCAGGCTGAAGTGCAATGGTGCGATCTTGGCTCACT